ACTGTCAACAATAGTGGGAGTTCATCTTGTTATTTTACACCCTCTCCATTATAATTCCCCACACACACATTATTGTTATTTTTGGTCTTTACTCAAGACTTCATTGGTACGTTCCAAATAAAATTCTATCACATTGAAATGGTGCATTCAATTTACTTATATTATTATGAAAATCAGAGGATTATTAAATTTGTTTATTCAAGGCCATCTCTGACATGTACCTGTATGTCACTTTGTTCCCTGACAAGCGTTTATATGGTTGAATATAGCCCTGGATCCAGTGCATTGTAAGCTGAGATGATATTTCTTTTTGATTGTTGGCTGCCCACTCAACTCACCAACACATATTCTACCATAGTCAAATAGGGTCAAACCATACAGAAAAATCTTCTTATTTAGAAAGTTTAATGAAAATCCTTGCAGATAATCATGTTTTTGGTCATACTTTTTCTTTTGGTACATTTGTTTGGTTGAACACAGTATTGATCAATTAGATGGATATCCACTGCTCTTTGCTATGACAGGATTCATGGTGTTACTTACTGGGTAGTTGACAACAGTAATGTAAATGTCTCCCTCTCCTACAACACCATAGGTCCAATATGGCCAACTGGCAGCCACTTTTGTAGCTAAAATACATTGTAAAACAACGTATCATTTGTTTTTCCCCCATAACTCTAACATGGAATGACTACACATTATTTTCAAATGCAATTTCTTACAGATAACAACAATTACTAATTGTGTTGATCAAAATTGTGGTAGAAATGTACATCTGTGGTTTGATATTATTTCTGACTGGTGGCCATTTTTGTACTATGCTAAATTTCATAATAATGTTACATACTTGAGACTTGATCTTATCCTGTGATTGACTGGCAGAAGTTTGATTTTTGTTTCTAACTTCAAATGCCATCATTTTTCCCTCCCAAATTTTGATGCAACTTTTTTCACTATCTTTTATGAATGCAAGTCCTTTGTTAATTTAGAACACAATTGACCATCTTCACTGATCAAAGTTCATTCACAGGTGGTAGAAAAAATTATATTAAAAAAATTGCGAAGTGTATTTTTTTTATCCATCTACTTTTTGTATAATGCATGCATGCATGTTTTTGGCAGTTAAGCTATGGGGTGATATAGAACTGCAAAATCTATTAAATTTGAAATTGACATTACTTGTTACAGTAAAGCTGATTGATTGATTCAACTTCTTGGCACATCTAATCAAATCATTCAATTTAACAGGTCAGAGGTCAAAAGTCAAATACACAATCAAGCACAGGTTTGTAAGACACCAATGAAAGGTCGGCTTTAACAAAACATGCAAATCTGACAATGCCAATAGACATAGCTTCGCATTGCTTGAAAGTCTTGATCAACATTTTTAAAATTTGCAGAACACAGAAAGAGGAAAATGATCGACTTAGGAATTCAAATTGTTATTGCCTTGCGTCAGTTACATCATGGTCACTTGTTTGAATCAATATTCAATTTACCAGTTTGGTTTTCTGTATACAATTTATTTTAATAATTGCTTGTTAATGTCCTTGACAGTTTTTTTCAGATGAAATAAAAGATGGAATGAACTTGGAGCTCTACTACCAGTAAAGGCGTACTACAATGGATTTTTTTTTCATCATTATTATTAAACATTTTTGGGAATTCTTGTGTATGTATTCCACCATCATGAAACACTGGTGATCTGAATTAGGTCCTGACTGAGTAACACAGTAAATTTAATATTTGTTGGTAATTGATGATTACCACAACTAATTGCCATTTAATGGTATTTTCAAAAATAATGTCAACATTTTTTCAAGAAGAAATATTACTATTTCGGTGTTTAGGCCAAGAAAAATGAATTTTTCACAAAAGAAGCTATGTCACCCGTTACCCATTATCTTGAGAATGCTTGAGAATCAAAATGGTGGACTACATAATACTGATAAACAGTTGAATATTCATAAAGTGAAATAAAAATACTGTAAATTGCATTCTCTTAATTTCTGAAGCCTTTTCATCTGGGAGCATTATTTTGTTTGCTATCATTTTGTTATCATTGTTTTTCTCATTTAAATGTAACCTAATTTGACTGGCGTTTCTGAATTTCAACATGATTCTAGTACATGTATGTGTGGACTTGATTTTTCTTGGCACAATAGATTTTGTTTTCAAAATTATTTCGTTATTTCTCAAAGTATTATGTTAATAGAAATAGATGATTGTACTTTCTTAAATATTTGAGATTAAAATGTGAAAATAACATACTACTATATGGTGTTTTTTTGCTGACCTTCATCCCTGTTGGAACCCTTGGGTTGGCTGACCATCATCCCTGTTTGACCCCCTTGTGTTTGCTAACTATCATCTCTGTTGGACCCCCTTGTGTTTGCA